ACGGTACGTCTTCTCTTCTGGCGGAAGCCTAAGAGGACATCGTGTGTCGCTTTTGGGAGGACGGGGATATCATCGGGTTTAGATTCGTGACTGTATTTAACACAAGTGTTGAACGGCTTTGTTATTTAGATTGTTAAAATTTAAATCAACAGTGAAATAACTTACTCATTTATTAATTTTAAATAAAATATAAATTTATAATTATTAATATAAATTTTAATAATTTAAAAAAATACAGATAGTCAGTGCTTATAGCAAGCACAGGTATTGAATTTAAATTCGGATATCATCAGGACCAGCTGTCAGGAACGGCTCCTACGCTATAGATCCGAATGATAGGGAGTGGGGCTTATTTCACGTGCCATCGTACCCCTCCCTCCCACGTCATTGCTGGCTTCCACGTGTCCCTCATATACAATCTTCACACGTGTCACCATCCTCGGTCATCTAAACAGGAGCGTTTCTGCCGTCTTTCCTGGAACCAGGCCAGGTGAGCGGAACGCCGGAACCCCTCTCCTCCGCGTCGCGACAAATTTCCAGACTGGTGGTATTGTACATCTAATTAATGATGTCATCGTTTTGTGGGTTGGTTAGATCTCATGTAACATTTTAATCATATTGTCCTATATATTAAAGGATCTTTAATGCTCATTTAGTATTAGCCTTTTCTTAGTGGGGTGAAATAGCAAGTCACTTTCTTTTGTAACCTTTTTTTCCTCTTCCAGTACAAGCCATTGAAAGTCTTTTGAAAGGATAGCTTTCCAATTACATCACAGCTCTGTGAGCTAACTATATGTATTATAGGATCTGATGAGCACACTTCAAGGTGATCTTGGCCCTTCATTTTATCTCAAAATAATTTTTATCATTAATTTTAAATTAATTTTTAAATATTATATTTATAAACATAAAAATTATAAAAAAATTATTTTTAAATCTTGAGTGTCTAAAATATATCTAGATAATTAATTTATAAAAATTTAAAAAATTAATATTAAATTAAATTATTCATATTATATTTGGACTGTATAGAATATATCTGGATGGTCAATTTATAAAAGACATAAAAAATTTTCTATTAAATTGGACCATTCAGATTAAATATATTCTAATAAGATTGATTATTAACAGATTTATTAAAAAAATTGATCTTTTTATGCATTTTTATTTTGATAAATATAAAATAAAAATAAAAATTTAAACTTGGTTTGTCTAGATCTAGCTCGTCAGAAGTGATGTGTATGATAGTGATCATCATGTAATGAGCACCGAAAGCAATCCAAGTTTAACAATAAAATTTTTTATAATTTTTATTTTTACAAATAAAATATTTAAAAATTTATTTAAAATCAATGACAGAAATTATTTTTAGATAAAATGAGGGGTCTAGATCACCCCTTGGATGATGAGTACAGAATGCGGAACCATATATTATATAGTGCCACACTAATTAGTGTTTGCCTTCGCTAATGTGTGTGTTACTGTGTTAGGGGTGGGGGCATGAGAGTAAGTTATCGTTGGTGCTGAATGTGTGCAACACACCGTTTTTAGAATAATTATTTAAATATCTTAATTAATGCTCCATTAATTAACAAAATCTATAAATTTCAAGGAAGACTGATTTCTAATTGATTTGGTTTGAGATTGAAGTTAATCTTGATCATCATAATTAAATTCTTAATATAGCTCCACACACACACACACATACCCTTCTTGGCATTGAACTCTGATTACAGCGAGAAATTAATTAGTGCTTAGTGATCATCACATGCCTTAATCTATAGCATCCTAGTGCTCGGTGCCTCATCTTTCACTACATGTCCAATGCGTTGAACATATACGAGACAAATCGTTATGAAGTGTGTTATTGCAAGTGTCTAATTAACATAATGATAGTTCTGCTTATCCAGTAAAAGCTTCTAAACATATCACTTCCATATTCATCAATTATCATTATGCATGATCAGGCACTAAATATGAATATCTTTTTTAAAATTGATTCAAACCTTGATTCATCATGTTATAAAAGATTAGCCCCTTCTGCTAAACCTAACATCTATTGGTTGAATATTCTACATTTATAAATATAAAAATACATATAGTATATTCATAGAAAATGCAGAAAAATTCATGAAATATGAGATTGTATATAATGGATGATAGAACTCTTAATCATTCATTATATATCTTAATATTCAATTCGATCCCCCAACAAATTTAATTTTTATTGATTTGATTTATATTGTTTAAAGAGAAAGTAATGCTATTAAAATCGATCGACTGACATGAATAACAAAAATTGATGATATTCTTGTAAATTGATAAGACATATAATTATTTAATTTATGTAGAAAAGTGGGCTCAAGAATTTTAAAAATAAAAGAATTACAAAAGAGTATGAACCTGTTTGGTCATTGAAAATGAGTGAAATGATTTATATAGAACAAAATGAACTAAAATAAACCTGAGAAACGATAGAAAAATGGATACAATGAAAAAAAAACTAAACTTATAGGGTGATTGAGAGGTAAGAAAGGGGATTATCAATAAAGTCATTAAATCCCCATTTCCGTATTTTCATCACCTCAAGACTCTCACCTCTTTATCAATTCACAGCTTTATTTTAGTGTTTTGTTCACTGTCAAACACATTCTTTTTCTTTTAATTTCATTCTGATAAAAAAAAAAAACTGGCCTTATGTTTTTCCCATAATTGTCATCATTAGGCAATCGGTAGAGTCGAGCAATGTTGCGTCATAAATGCGATCAACTGTCCTGAACATGATTTGAATATGAGACCTTTCTTAATGAAAAGGCATCGAGTATCTTGACTATCTTCTATTCTACTCGATCAAACCAATCGTGCTTCGTTTAATTTCATATGCTACCGAAATACATTGCATTTATATCTTACATATGACCAGATTACATGATCACGAAAAAGGTTTGTTCATTCAATCCATTCTCATCATTTTTAATTTTTTGGGCTCATTATTAGGCCTTCTTTATAATAGAAGACGCGTCTCTAGCATTTTCATTCCCCGTGGCCGGTGCTTCTTCCAATCAACTTGAACAAAACTATATGGGTTAACAGCACAAACAATAAACCCAAAACTGATCTCAACAATAAATCAATATTAACAAATAGATCAAAAACATCAACCTACCCTTAACTAAAGGGTGATGAGAACTAACCCCACATGGAGTGAGGTGAGGTTATACAATATACCTCCCTACCTCAATACACTATACTCAACCCTATATATAGGATCTAAGGATCAAATTAGATAATTAACAAATTAACTACCTTGACCAATTTAACCTTCCAATACTTCCAGTATTTTGGTAAGCTGAACAACGCAGAGATGATTCCTACGGGGTGTTAAGTGCATATAGAGTTAATAGCACGCCTTAAAAAGCCTATTCGTTTTTTAAACGTTTCAAGAGGTCAAGATATGACAAAAATTACTAAACACGTCAATACCCCTGAGTCTTGAAGTGATTACTGATTATTATACTAAAAGTGCTATAATGTGTGTGTGTGTGTGTGTTTGTGTACATACATTTGGCGTGCTATGTGACAACAACCCCACTCACCAGTCAACGCATGACATAACCAGAATGACCTAAACCTAGTGGCGTGCTATCTTATCTTATTTTTTTTATATATAGCAAAATATACAAAATATCACTGTTCTCATAGACCCACCATTTCCTTTTTTAAAAACAAAAATTCATTTGTTTTTTTCCATTTTTTTGTCATGCTTCTTTTTATTTTGTTAAAAAATCAAAACATGTCATGACCATGACTACTAATATTTAAAAATTATGTTTACATTACATTTTTAAGATGTCATATTAGCATATTTTATATTTATATGATTTTCAAATTATCTTTTAATTATTTTATAAGTAATAAGTTTAGAAATAAAATGAGGATTCTTTATATTTAGAATGCACAAAAGTCAAAAAATATTGTAAATAAATAATAATTTTTTATTAATAAGTATTTTTTTATTAAAGGTAATTATATTTGAAACATAACTAGATGCTAAATATAGGCACCTTTTTAGCAAAAATTTAAACCTTAATTCGTCGCGTTGTTGAAAGATTACCCAACTCACATTCACAATTACATAATAATGTGTTAGTATGTTTATATTGGTGTCTTTATATTTATTTGTAATTTAGAAAATTTTTAAGGATTTTATTTGGTAACTGTTGTGTTTTTTTTGTTTTTGTACTTTTTTAATTTTTTAATCAATTAATGGTCAAAATTAATTTGTTAATTATTAGAACAATATTTTACTATTTTTAATTGTGGACAGAAAATATGGCACAACAAAAAAGTATAACATTTTTTTTTTTTTGCGCCTGAATAGAACTGTCGTCTTTTTGGTTAAGAATAGTACTGTCACTAATAAAGAAACTGAATACAAAAAATCCATGAAGCTCATCAAACCCGAACACAAAATGGACCAAGTAATGGTGAAAAGAAAACTATAAACAAAGCACAACAAAAGCAACCAATACCTCGCTTAGCAAACCCAACAGAACCAGAAACATGATTCACGAAAAGGTTTAGTGCCAGCTAATGCTCCTACCCAAATAGTTCAAGTGCAAAAATATCTTATAACTTTAACAATTAAAAGTTTTAAATATCAACCGTTTAAACTAAATACCTCAGCCATGCATCCAAATCTTATCCCACGCGAAGAGCATAGAAGCTGAACTCAATACTCCGTTCAAGCCACACAAATCGTCAAGTACAGGTGAGAAGAATTTATGAAGATACCGGTGGCAGTAAAAGAACCAAAGATCAATCATAACTAGGCATATATATTAATGATTAAAAATTAGAAGTCTTAACTGAGAAATAGATAAAAAGCATTATTATAGGTGGAAGAGAAACTGGGCAGCACAAGAAGGGTGGCTTAATTAGAAGGATCAAAAAGAGAGACACAAGGGCATCCGGTAAAGTAGTGAAAGAGAGATGGCGTGGTGAGGGAGCCACGTGTCACTCTCAGCCTCTCCTACAATGGCGTCCGTGAAACTTGCCATTGCCATTCACCTTCCTTCCACTTCTCTCACTCTTCCCTTCTCCCTTCATTTATCATCACCCCTCTCTCTCCCTCTCTCCATTCACATCCCAACCCTAATCAAACCATTTTCTTCTTCACTTCGATCTCATTCTTCATTCTCATGATCGCATTCAAGTGGAATATTTAATACTCGCTCCTTCATCATTATATGTGACGGTGTTCTATATGGGAAAACGATTACTGCCCCAGCTGGGACTGATTTCTTGTCTCCTCCTCATCAAACGCCGACGACGATGAAAAGTGGCGGCAGCAATGATGGAGGTGCATTCATGGAGGATCCTAATGGAGGCACTAATTTAAATCAGTCTTGTAGTGGCAAGCCTCCTAGAGACGCTTCCGCCATGCGTCATTGCGCTAGTTCTACCTTCCTTGCCGATTCGGTTTGTCCAATTTTTTCCTATTTTATATATCGTTCCACAGATTTTGCAGTCTTACAAGCATATTGCTTTATGTTGGATTGTGTTGTGTCTAGGAAGCAGATATTGTGAGTGTAGAATTGAAAACAGCGGCCACGACGACGGAGGAGAAATCGGAGTTTTGGCCTATATTTCGATCTGGAAGCTGTTCTGAAAAAGGACCGAAGCAGTACATGGAGGATGAATTCATCGCTGTCGATGATCTCCATGAACATGTTCCTCCAGGAAGTCGCCTTCCTTCTCCTGGAGCTTTTTATGGGGTAATATTTCTATATATGTATATATCTGAATCAAATCTGTGTATAGGTTCAAAGTTATTGCAGCATCGTCTCTGTTGCCTTGTATTGTCTATACTTACAGAGGCGGTTCTTTATATATTATTAACATTGATGACAGATATTTGATGGGCACGGAGGCACGGATGCAGCATTGTTTACGAGAAAGAACATCCTCAAGTTTATCACTGCGGACTCAAACTTCCCTTGCAGCATCAGAAAGGCTATCAAGAGTTCATTTGTGAAGGTGGATCACGCATTAGCAGATGCCATTTCTCTTGATATGTCTTCAGGCACCACTGCTTTGATAGCCCTCATGATGGGAAGGTACGTACGTGATAACCACCATAGTGTCTATATATATATATATATATATACACGTATAAATACATACAGCAGTAGGTTCCTGTAATGTGATTGTATTTAGTTTATATAGGTTTATTTCGCTGTACATGTCCACAGTTTCTTTACTTTAATCTATCTGCAATATTTGCTTTTATAATTTAAAAAATGCATGTAACATTATGCCATGCCATGGCACTGACAGAGTTAATTTTTTTATGATCTTGTTAGCCTCTTTGCTGACATAAAAATAAATTGACTGTGTGTGATTAAAAATAAAAGATAAGAGGGAAAAAGCTTCGTTGTATATATATTTAGATTAAACAGAATATGAGGAACGAACACAATATTAAGTACACGTCAACAGCGAGGGTTAATAGAGCATATATCAGTAAAATTAATTCTTTTGAGACGACAAGTCATGGTTCTTTTGTCCATTTTTAAAACTATGGTAATTAAAATTGTAGACAGATAAAATTAAAAGAAAGAACAACAACAAAATATAATAAAGCTATAGAGACTACAACCAAAACACAATCAAGATGCCTATAGACTTACTTTTCTACTTTCTGTATATAAAATAATCTATAGCGCGTGTGTGTGTAAGTAATTGGCATGTTTTTTTCATGCTGGCAGAAGTATGATGATAGCTAATATAGGCGATTCTCGAGCTGTGTTGGGAAAACGAGGCAGAGCCATTGAACTATCAAAAGATCACAAGCCAAACTGCACATCGGAGAGATTAAGAATCGAGAAACTGGGCGGAGTGATCTACGACGGATACCTGAACGGCCAGCTGTCGGTGGCAAGGGCTCTAGGAGACTGGCACATCAAGGGGTCAAAAGGATCGAAGAGCCCACTAATCTCAGAACCAGAGATCGAAGAGGTGGAGTTAACGCAAGACGACGAGTACTTAATAATGGGGTGTGATGGGTTGTGGGACGTGATGAGCAGCCAGTGTGCGGTGACGACAGTGAGGAAAGAGCTGATGAAACACAACGATCCTGCGAGGTGTGCGAAAGCGCTCGTCATAGAAGCGCTCCAACGTAATACATGCGACAATCTAACTGTTGTCGTTGTCTGTTTCTCCCAGCATCCTCCTCCCAAGCTGCAAGTTCCTGTGTTGCACAAGAGGAGGAGCATCTCAGCTGAAGGCTTGGACCTTCTCAAGGGCGTCCTCTCTTGAATTCTTTCATTTCTTTATGTCTATAGATGCTCACACTTTTCTTGTGATTTGTACATAGTTTCGTTTATACAAATCGTAGGGGAATTTTTCTGACTAGTTTGACATATGTATTTTCTTCAAATTAGTAACGTTACACGTTTGTAGTACTATACTTTATGATACATGAAACATATTTTCGCAAATGTATTGTTGGGCCTCTCTTCTTTTATTTTTTTTTTTAAGAGAAAAAACGCTTCTTGATAGGAACGTCAGTGATAAGGGCCTGGCCTGTTGTAAGCTGTTTTGACAATTGTCCCAGATGTGACATATTTGGACCGAGCCTGCAAGCTATCCATCACATTAATTATTTTATCATTTTTTCGCTGTGTTTATAATGATGCGGAGAAGGGAATTATTTATTTATTTATATTCTGTTTCTATTATTATTTAATTAAACTCAAGTAAGATTTTTTAAAAAACATGACTTCACTAATTCATGATTTATATTGTGGTTTGAAGGAAATACGAATAATAATTTTGAAATAAATAAATAAATGTTGATTATATTTTTACATAAAAGAAATAAATTTTTTTATACATAGAATGCATGTGGTAATAAGTTTTAAATAATTTTTTACTGCGCACGAAATAATAAATTATAAAATGGAACAAGTTATTTTAATCGATCAAATATTTTAAAATAAGATAAGGTATTATTTATATTTTAATATAAGCAAGGCTAAGAAATCCTTAAATAAATAATTTGTTTTTTCTATGTATGCTAGATAATAAATTATAAAATAAAATCCATTTAAATTTAAATTTTTGTGCTGATCACATCCCCTCGAAATAATAAATTGTTCTATATATTTTTAAGATGCGTAGGGTAAAATTCTAAAATAAGTCATTTGATGACAAAAAAAGAAGTGTATAAAAAAGACTAAAAAATTTAATACCGGTGGCAAATTCTAAAAGAAAATAAGTTTTTTATACAATAAGGAAGAAACAAATTCTAGAACAAAACAAATATGATTATAGTTTGTTTGGTTCAAGGGACTGGAAGGAGATAATGAAATTTTTAATGAGTTCGATTGTAAATAAAATGGAGAAGTGAGATTAGAAGTTTTAATTTATTTTCTTGACACAAACCTGGAGGGCAATTCTATCATTTTATATGATACCAATCAAGTGAGAGAAATGCTACCAGAAAAGAGATTTGAAAAGTATACGTGGCACTCCAAATGATATCCTACACGACGGCTCGTGTGGTAACTGTATTTCAAATGGAAATTCACGAAGTGTTCAATTTCTAATCAATATGCATAGAAGTATACAATAAAAGATCTCATTCAAGAGAGCTTCCAATTTATTCATCTTATTTTTTATTTTCTAAGTAATTTTATTATTTAAAAGAGTCTTTTACGATTTAAGGGATTATATTTATTAAGGAGATTTAAAGGACCATTTAATTATTTTGAATTATTTAAATGATTTTCTAATTCTCTTAATTTTTTGTGTATTTAAATTAGAATATTGTTAAGATATTAAATTAAGCGAATTATCTTTATTTTATCATTTGTTTTGTTTTTCTAGTTGGGTGCCAATTAAGTAGGCATTGTGGGCTCAACTATCTCAACTAGGATTTAAGGGATTATTTATTTTTTAATTCAAAGGGATTATTTATCTTGCAAAGAGTATAACATATAGCAGGATTATTCTTTTCTTATTTAAAGGCTCATATTGTAAACTATTTTGGGAAGAAGAGAATTAAATAAAAATTGATATTTTTTTGTAAGTTGATTACTTATGGGTTGTGTTCATGGTTGAATACAAGAGTTCTGTGAAAATATTGGTTTTCTCTTGCGGTGCCATGTTTATAATATGGCATCTAAGGACGAGTCTTCTTAGAGTTTTAATTCATCGATCAATAATCTTTTTTTTTTCCACTTTCAGTGGGTGCGACTTTTGACTATATCTTGGGATCTTTAAACAAATTCTTAGAGGATCTACATCATGTTTTGTCTTTTTTCTTTTACATGTCTTCTCTATTAAAATTTTATAATACTATTTTTCTATCCTTTTTTTAAAATTGAAGTCATTACAGTATCTCTTCCATTCTATCCATATCCCTTAAATGAATTAATGTCCCGCGCAGTGTAACATCTAGTTATTTATTTATATTCTGTTTCTATTATTATTTAACATTTTAAATTCAAATAAGATTTTCTTAATTCGTTTTTAACCGGATTTTAAATTTTTTTTAATTTTTAATCCAATTTCATGCGCAGCAGACACACGTTTCTTGCGCGCGTTCTTTATGTAGTTTACAGTGCAACACTGCAACCACACAATACACAAATCGTTAAACGACGTGCCCTTATCTTGTTTTTTATTTGGGACGATGATTAGTAAACGACATTGGCAATGATCTGGACAAAGCAAAGCTGTGGTGTGAATGGGCAAAGCGACAGCGCGTCTAACATAAAATTATAATATTTAAGAAAGACCACGCGTCTGGATCCATACATGAACATGATACACCATGCATTAGATACGTAGTCATAAAACTAATTTTATTACTCAATTCAAAATTTCATTTTAGATAATTCATAGTCAAATATTCAATTACGTCACCAAAACTTGGATCACATAATATCTTAAAAACATTTTTCACAATTTAAGCCACTCATTTAATCATTTTAAATATTAGTAGTAGATATTATGCCTTCTATCCCAAATTATAAAGTTTTTTTAAAAGAGTTTCTTCATCCTAAAATATAAGATAATTTGAGTAAATAAAAATTTTATTAAATACATTAATTTTAATATTACTTTTTCTCTCTCTATAATTAATTTTCATCTCTTTTATTTTTAATATATTAAATGATGAGTATTTTTTAAAATTTATATTTTTATTTTAAAAAATAATATTGTTAAATATATTTAATGAAGTTTATTAATATATGAGATTTTATTTAAAAATATTTTATAATTTAAAATAAAAAAATAATAAATACTAAATAGTAGATGGAAAAACTACATGACTTATTGACTTATACATAATACCTTTTTGTGTAAATTTTATATTTTATATTAATAATTATCTCCTAAAATTTATTTAGTTTTTCCTCATATATCGCAATTAAAACGGAGTGGTTGGCAACCAACTTGAGATATCTTGTGCACAAAAAATAATAGAAATAAATTCGCGAAAGAGATATTGATTCAATCGCTCTAGGGCGAATTATTTGGACGATTCTTCGATGAGTTTTATATTTATAGCTTGGACAAAAAATAAAAAAAAAATCAATCTTTTAATTCTTTAATTTTTTATTTATTTATAACTCAATCTCTCAATTATAACTTACTACAACTCAATCTTTCCATTTTTAATTCGCTTATAACTTAATCATTCAATTTTTGTCTTATTTATCATTTAGTCCTCCAATTTTTGTTAGCTCTCTTTTTTCATATTAACTTAAATTTCACGTCAAAAAGTAAGAAGATGATATTTTAGAGTAATATATGAATATTTATTTTATCTTTCTTATTTGATAAGGATGATTCTTGAAAAAAAATTGAAAAATGAGGATTAAGTTATAAAGAAGTTAAAAGTTAAGGGATTGAGTCACATCAAGTCATAGTTGAATGACTGAGTTACAAATAAATTAAAAGTTAAAGGATTAAAAGATTAATTTTTTTAAAAAAAATATTTAAAGATTGTGGGCAAATTGGGCATCGGATCATGCATATATGTATGGCATGAAATCTAAATATAAATAACAGTACTACTTGTTAAAAATATGAATATGAAATAGGATATGATTATAACACCTTTTTTTTATGTTGTCTAGGGTATTTTTATAGCTGGCACCTGTGAGATTAATCCTCAAAAAATTTGAGCACCATGATTATAACACTTTTGAAATCAATGTCAGTATTGATATTGGATCTTACTTTATAAATGCCAATAGTAATTATACTGAATTAAATGAAAGGAACTTAGTTTACTTGCTCTGTCAATTAAACAAGGGCTTATATTTAAGCTTAATTTAAAATTAGGATGCGAGAACTACACGAAAACAAGGATGAAAAGAGAGTAAAATTAACACTAGATTGATAATTAAAAGAGACAACATATTGGGAAGATATGAAAAGTAAGAAACAATACACCATTTATCCATAGATTCCATTCTATTCGATGGATGAGAAGGGATTTATTAAGACTTGTATTTAGCGGTGAATGAAATAAAATCTTGATCCCATCCTGGCAAAATGTTTCGCGATTTTAAGAGTAAACGGATGTGACCTTTTTTAAAAAAAAAAAAAACGAAGATAACAGTTAAGATTCAAGAGATTGACTTAAGAACAGTTAGATCCCTAGCATAATTTTTAAAAAATAAAGTGTAGATATTTATATTCAAGAGTTAATGTGTATTTTTATTTGTGAATTTTTTTTCAAGAAACACTAGATACTGGTATGTTAGGCAATTTTATCTCTAAATTATTTTTTTACGAGCAAATAATCTCTTTTGTTAGTTAATCGTTAATCTTTTTTTACTATTGACGTGACATATGTATGAAATCCACATATAATAATAGGGAAGGCTCTAACTATATCTTTTGGTGTTAATTTACTTTCAAACTCTTTTTTTAAGAGTATTGAGTATCAAGGTTGTTAAACTCATAAGTTTAAATAAAATCATGACAGGAATGTAAACTCGTATTACAAACTCAAATCGTAAACTCATAAGCGTTTACTCCTATTGATAAATAACCATTAAAATATAATTATAATTTAATTTAAATATATTAAAAATATAAATTATTGAAATTAAACCCATCTATATTCCTAAATTATCATATACAAGACATTAAAATTTTAAAACATGGGAACTTATTTTTAGTATTTTTGTTTTCTTTTTTATTATTATTAGTTTTTGCATGTCAAGTTTTTTTTTTAAATTAGGTCTTATAACTTTTATGAATTAAATTTTTCATAGTATATACTTAACTCGCTCAACTAAAAAAAAAATTGACGAGCTTAACAAATTTAATTAAACTTGCATCTAGTCTAAATTTATAAATTAATTAACATGATTTTATAAGTTAAAAATATTAAAATGATAAATTCAAAAGTAAACTCATGAATTTAACCAAGTTTGTATATAGTTTGAGTGTATGAGTGAGTTGATATGATTTTGTAAAGTAAAAATGTTAAACTTATAAAGTTAACTTAAGAGTTTCACAACTATGCTCAAACTAACTTTATCTTAAATTTATAAATGATTTCTCTTTTATATATATATATATATATATATATATATATATATATTGATATCCAAGCTTCTCTTCAAGATAATATTCAAATCGTTACACTTTTAGTGCATATCAAAACTTACCTATATTTTTAATATTAGTTGTGTTCTTTAAATTTTTAGGCCATTTTTTGTAATTTTTTTGGTCAATTAACAATCTTTCTTTAAAATACTGCCCTACTCAAATTTAATACTGCCTATACGCACTATGCAACAGTGTTAATTGTAAAATTAAAAATATAACAAATCAAGATCAATAATTTGCTAATAAAAATATTTATTTAAAAGATATCACTTATTCAATTAATGTGTCACAAAAATGTTACTTAATAAGATAATAATGGAGAGATGAGATGAAAAAATTTTCTTTATTAATTTGAAGGTTTATTCTTTTTGTTTTTAATACAAAATGTCAAAATATAAAAGATATTGAAATATTAAATTGAGTGGTGTAATATTTTAAAAGAATATTATTATTTGATAAAAAAAATTATAAAGAATGACATAAAAAAACTTAAAGAATTCAATCAATATTAAAAATACGATCGATATATAAAAATATTAAAAGTCATCTATAAATTTTTAAAAAGCTAATTTAACTGTTAATATTTAAAAATAATTTATAATTTTTGAATTAATATTTATCAATAATAATATTTTAATTATTAAATATTAAGATCATATTTTGACAATATTATTAAATTTTATTTTAGTAAGATTTCAAAACATCCAACGCCCATAAAAAAAGATTATAAGATGCTCAATGCTCTTGAAAAAATAATTTAAAAATAAATTAGTATCAAAAGACATTGTTAGTCTTACTTGTCACAATAAGTGAGCTCCATGTGCATGCCACATCAGCAGAAAATGAAAAAATTAACAGTCAACTAACAAAAAAATTTTTTTTCCTTGAAAACATAATTCAGAGGTAAAATTGCCAAACTTATTAGTACAAAATACTCATTACTCCTAATAAAAAAGTTGTGAAATAAAAATATATTTTAACCCTATATTCAAACAATTACAACACAAATAGAAATCTCAATTGCAAATTAAAAGTTACATTTAAAACACAAATATTTTATCTATAATTGAGACTCTTAAATTTATAATTCTTTAAATTGATATTTATAACTTGTTTTTCAAAAAATTATGCAAGAACCTAACTATCACTAAATCTACCTCCTGGGACCTAAAGCCATTCACTCTTTCCCCCTTTTCCACCAGCTTGTCATTCTCAATGTACAAGCCTGAGACGTTACTCATACTTTATAAATAATGTACTTCTGAGGATAAATAATTTTCTACGTATACGGCAATTTTATTGAAATATTACAAATATTTTGAATCCATAATTTTAAGAACCACTTGTGATGACTTTGAAAAGTATTAGTAGCAGTAGTAGTTTGAAAGCACAATGCTAACTCTGTTTTGCGGAAGTTTTGTAACTTTGAAAGTCTTTTAAGCGTCATTGATAATTTATGTCAATTTCTTTAAAAAAAAAAAAAACCAAAACAAATCAAGGGGCCAATGAAGATGGTAGAGAATACACTTTGCGAAGATTCTCTGGAATCAATTGGGAGAGAAGTCTTTTTCTTTTTCAATTTGAATTTGTCTTTAAAGTGTCTGAAGCTCCTGAACGTTTGAATTCTTCATCGTCTAATTGTCTCGAAAATAATTTATTTGTTTTAAAATTAAGAAAAAATATAATATTTAATCCTTATAATTTATCAAATTTATTTTTAGTTCTTATATTTTTTCAATATTTTTAGTCTCTATAATTTTTAAAAAAATTGAGTGATCTTCATTTTTCATATCCTATAGTTTTCTTTTTTTTAATGGGTTTAGTTTCTATATGAATTAAAAATAATTAAAAAATTATAGGAATTAAAAAAAAACCCGATAAAATTAGAGGACTGAAGATTATGTTTTTTTAAAATTAGAGATAAGCATTTTATAATGCACCAGAAAAATGTGCTGGATTCTTTTTTTTTTAAAAAAAAAAAGCAAGATGGATGGTGTTCCCCAAAAGTATTGCAAAGCATCATGATACTCCCTCTATTTTAAATTATAAGATATTTTTATATAAAATTTTACATATCAATAAATTTTATTAAATATAACTAATAACTTTATCTTTTCAAAATAAAAATATAAATTTTTTAAAATACTCATAATTTAATATATTAAAAAGAGAAGGAACAAAAATTAATTATAGAAAGAGGAAGGATAATATTGTAATTAGTATATTTAATGAAATTTTAATTTATTTAAAGTGTCTTATATTTTAAGATAATTTTTTTAAAAATATTTTATAATTTAAAATAAATGGAGCATTATTATCTGTATTATACTATTAAGAAAAATTACAACAACTCGCTGATTTTAAAATTAGACTAACTATTGATTCTTCAGAAATCAGAAGTAGAAATTCACAATTCACGAGTCTGACGTCGAATCACAAATAAATTAATGGTGTGGTTGTGTGACTATGCTTGTTCGCGCAAAATAAATATGAGAAATCGTCATTATCATAATAAAAAAATCAAGATTTTAAATACATTTAAATAAAAAATTAATTATTTGATTAATGTATTTTTAATTCATTAGAAATTCGGTCCTTCAAACTTAATGTAGTCTTCAAATTTGATTTTGCGCAATCTAATTCTTATAATTTTAAATCTATTAAAATTCAGTCTTTAAAAACTTGACTATTGCACTAGGCCACATAATTCTTGTTAATCAAGATAAATTCACGTTTTTAGATTTTAGATGAGTTGATATAAGATTTAACCAGATTCAAACATGCAAGTGCAAAACCGTAACTTGAATAGTGATTTTAACAACATTTGGTCCAGTGGCCATTAATTTACTATAACATTGTAGGGGTTATTATGTAATGAAACGGAACAGAGTGTAATAATTAAAATGAAACACTTTATTATTTGAGAATTTTATTGTGATAATTAATAATTTTGTTTTTAATTGTTATTTAAAAATTATTAGATTTCAATGCGTTATAATTATGTTCTTACACTTTTAAAATGAAGGAAGACGAAAAATTGAGAGAGACTGATAATTTTATAAAAGTATTTTCTTATATTAAATCATTTCATCATTGATCTCATAAATTAGAGATCACAAAAAATAGAGTTAAGATAGTTTGAAAGGCTATTTTAAGCTATTATTTTTTTTGGTAAAAAGGTTATCTTAAATTATCATACTTTTTTTTAAAAAAATTCTAAACAGTGGTATAATATTTTTAGCATCTTATTAAAAAAATCCAAATATTTCATGTAATAAAAAAATTGAAAAATTTACCATTCAAACTTCCATATTTACTGTTCAAAGATTTTCATTTTACATTAATATTTTTACAAAGTAAAGTGTATGATGGGGAAATTCACGTCACTTCTGTCACGTATCAGCAGGCAATTTATTTGTTCATAATTTTATAACTTATAATATTTGATTTTTTTTTTTAACTCATTGACAACTTGTCGACAACTTGATATTACTAATTATTAAATATATCACAAACACGTGGCCAATATATATATATATATATATATATATAAAATAAATAAATGTTGATCAAAGTATCTTCTCGTTTACTGCTTCGCTCAACGATTCATCGAACTTGTTAAATTTAGCCCACCATCCAACTTCGTATTGGCTTCCTCCTATCTGGAGCGTGATCATCATATCACGTTCCTCACGAGATTTCCTCTCATCCCAATCTTCAGCTTTTTTGCCTTCCTCTCCTCCAACCACGATCATCTCTCTGTTTGTTAGCTGCTCACTGTACGATTCCGAATTCCATTCTTCTTCTTGTTTTTTTTTTTTTTTTTTGCCCCTTTTCCTTCTACAGATTTACCATTCATTCTCTCAGTATTGGACATTGAAAATCAAAAGCAGCCATTCATAGATTTTCAACAATACAACCCAGAAATCCAGTCCAATGGGGTTTGAGAATCAAGCAAGTTCATCGTCCTACTCTTTGCCACCATACCCTCGAGAAGATACTCCTCTTCTCACGAAATCGCCTCCTCTTTCCACCAACTTCAAGACCTTCGCCAACATCTTCATCGCCATTGTAGGTGCTGGAGTCCTTGGTCTGCCCTATTGCTTCAAGCGAACGGGATGGGTCACGGGCTTACTCATGATCTTCGCCGTTGCCTTTCTCACCTATCACTGTATGATGCTCCTGGTCTACACTCGCCGTAAGCTCGAATCGATCACTGGTTTCTCCAAAATCAACTCCTTCGGCGATCTAGGCTTCGCCATCTGTGGTCCCATCGGCAGATTCTCCGTCGACGCCATGATCGTTCTTTCTCAAGCTGGGTTCTGCGTGAGCTACCTGATCTTCATTTCCAACACCCTAGCACATCTAGTTAACCATAGCACACAAACATCCCCCTTTTTAAGTTTATCCCCGAAAGTCCTATTTCTCTGGGGTTGCTTTCCGTTTCAGTTAGGGTTGAATTCAATTCGAACTTTGACCCACTTGGCTCCTTTAAGCATAATCGCTGATGCGGTCGATATAGCAGCGAAGAGTGTAGTTATGGTGGAGGATGTGTTTGTCTTTATGAAGCATAGACCCGCTTTAGAAGCATTTGGGGGTTTCTCTGTCTTTTTCTACGGTGTTGGTGTAGCAGTCTATGCTTTTGAAGGAATTGGGATGATTTTGCCGTTGGAATCAGAGGCTAAAGACAAAGAGAAATTTGGAAGAGTCTTAGGTTTGGGCATGACGGTGATTTCTCTTCTGTTTGGAGCATTTGGTGCTCTTGGTTACTTTGCTTTCGGGAATGAAACCAAAGATATCATCACCACCAATCTGGGACAAGGACTAGTGAGCACTCTGGTTCAATTAGGACTCTGTATCAACCTGTTCTTCACTTTTCCATTGATGATGAACCCTGTGTATGAAGTTGTGGAAAGAAGGCTGTGTGATTCTAGGTACTGCTTGTGGCTGAGGTGGTTGATGGTGTTAGGGGTCAGCTTGGTGGCACTTTTGGTGCCAAATTTTGCAGATTTTCTTTCACTAGTAGGAAGCAGTGTGTGTGTTGTGCTGAGCTTTGTATTGCCTGCAATGTTCTATTATTTAGCGTTCAAGGAAGAGTTGGGTTGGAGATCTATGATTTGTAATGGTGCAATTGTGGTTTTTGGATTCATTGTGGCAGTCTCAGGAACTTGGTCTTCTTTGGCGGAGATTTTTGCGCCTAAGGCTTAATTGGGCTGAAAACATATCACTTTGCAGTTTGATATTTATAACTATTAACCCACAACAGGCCGTGAAGTTGGGTTTGGATTTACAGGAGTTTTCAGTCCTGTCCTCTTTAGATTCTCAGCTGTTCTGTTCACAACCAATCCAATGGACGATTTCCCTCAAGTCTTGTTGGGATTCAATTCCATACGAGAGTTTCAGTCGTGTCTAGTCAATGTATTCCCATCCCTTTATACAATCGAAGGGAGGGTTTCAGTGTTGTTTAGAGTCCAAACAAGTTTCAGTCTGGTCTAGTATGAAATCCCAGCCCTTAATACCATCTAAGGGAGGATTTTAGTCTTGTCTGAGATTCCATACAATTCAAAGGGATCACATGAGCTGGATAGTAGATGTTGTTGTGAACTAGTAATTGTTGAATCATGAAATAAAAGGTTGATGATGTCCCAAAGCCAGTGACGACTATTATTTTTTTAATCTTTGATTCTCTTATAACCCCCCCCCCCTTTTTTCCGAACTAGAAGAAATAGACAATCATAGCATTCAAAGCGAGTCTTCTCTCATGAAAATAAAGGTCGTAGAATGTCTCAGTCAGCAATAGTTAGCATTTCCCTGCTTAAGATAATTTCAAAGGGAAAATTCAGGTCAGAAGATTTTTCAAAGGGGGAAAACAATTCATATCATTTCTTTGAATAATTCATCCTAAGTAACTTGTTTTCGAAAAACAAGTAATCATAAATTCTTCTTACTATAATTGATTTTTGGTCAAGAGCTAAATATTTTCATCCTAAAACTTGTGAAAAACAATAAAGAACAAATTGATCCACTACATAAGATGGGTCATCAGAGGTTAAGAACAAATCTTGGCTAATAATCGCCATCATGCGTGTTAATAAATACAAGTAGGTATGAAACAAAAGGAGCAGACACGGCATATGTGGAATTTGTTGGGCACAGGGCTATAACTGTAAAGATACACGTACCCAGGTGAGATTTGAAAATAGGTTTGTACGGTAAATGTAAGACCCACATTCAGACACAAGACAAAGAAGCGAAGAAGGAAGGAAGGTGGAGAAAAAAGTGGAAAGATTGAAGAGCTTCTCTTGTCACGCCTCACAAATATTGGCACTTTTCTCTCTTTCCTTCTTTATTTCCTTTTCCCCAAATCAAAGCTTCAAATTTGGTCAAGTCCTAGAAATCCTACGTCCAGGCAATTTCAATCAACAGTCAAATCATTTCTTAATTCGATTCAGATCAGACTCTTTTTACGGATAATTTACAAGAAAACTTTTGAAAAGAGGAGATGTCTTGCTCGTCGTCATCAGGGTCCGAGGAAGAGGATGAGGGCTTCGATTCCTACAGAAAGGGAGGGTACCACGCCGTCAGGGTTGGCGATCAGTTCGCCGGTGGGAGGTACATAGCACAGAGAAAGCTGGGCTGGGGTCAGTTTTCTACCGTCTGGCTCGCATTCGATACTCGCAATTCTGTATGTTTGATCCTCGCTTTTCTATCCCCCGCTGTATTTTCTGAATTTCGTATCCTACTAATAGTTTCTTCAGAGAGAGGTATTCTGTATGTTTGTTCCTACTAATAGTCGCTTGTCCTTCATCTTTTGATTGGTTTGGCGTATGATTCGTGTCCCAGATGTGAAACTTCACTATTTCTGTTGATGCAATCTGTTTTGAATCTATAGGAGTAGAGTGATGAATAATTTTGTTGCTGATGCATATGTATTCTTATTTAGGCAGAGGCAATAAATTGATTTTTTTTTTTTGGGTTTCCCAATGGTGAAGGTTCCTAGATCTTCCTTTGACATTTCTTCCACCGACACTGTATTGATCCATATTCCAACATCTGCAGTTATTTTGTTTTGATCTGTAATAGATTTTATTTTTGCATTTTCTTTTCTCTCTGCGTCTGTGTTTTGATTTTCCCTTACCGCAGCTTTTAAGCATTTTATATATTTCTTTTTCTATCTTATTTATATCATTCTATTGAACGAATCGAACGTAGATTAATTGGTTTTGGGATGGAAATATGGATAACTGGCAAATCTTGTTTTCATCTAGTGACTCTACTGTACCTTCTTTCTCAACTGGTGTATGTAGTTGTCAACATGTCTCACAAGAACACAAATTTTGCTTGTTGGAATACTAAAAATGGCCGATGGTCATCATAAATGCAGTCACCTGGTTTTGCTGTCTGCATGTTAGCTTCTCACATGCTGATGCTAATGGATCTGGATCCTTTGCTGCTTTGCTGCAGCAACAGATCTGGGTGGCAGCAGAAGATTCATGTCCAACGGTTATAGAGTATTTATTTGTGCTATGCTTCAGTCTAAAATTGATGCTTGAGTCTTCAGTACCTATATTCACCAAAATGTCGATCTGAATTCTTATTTGGATTAGGCAAAACAGAGTGTTTAGAGGCTTTAAAACGAACAATCGCCAGGGTCATGGATTTACAACTTTTGCTACCTCAGGCCACTTTATTTGATGTAGAACTTACATCGATGCTTGAATTTGGCATTGATCCAGGTGGGATGGGTCCTCTGTCATGCACGATCCCTCATGCACTAGTGCAGGAGTTATGGCCAAGCGTTGTCCTTTATCCACGATCTTTCTTCATGTATCCATGTTCAAATAAAACATCTTCTATAGTGGCCAAACACATATGCATGTACTATCATTGATTTTGCCACCAGCCAGTGGTCCTGTTAAGTTTATTTTATTTGGTGGACCTTTATTGCTTACATCAAATATATTCTAATGTGAACTTTGTGGTTTTCAGACATATGTTGCCCTCAAAATTCAGAAAAGTGCAGCCCAGTTTGCCGACGCTGCCCTTCATGAGATAAATGTTCTTTCATCCATTGCTGAGGGCGACCCTTCAAATTCAAAGTGTGTTGTCCAATTGATCGACCACTTTAAGCACTCAGGCCCAAATGGGCAGCACCATTGCATGGTCCTTGAGATGCTTGGTGATAGCTTGCTTCGTCTGATCAGATATAGACATTACAAAGGCCTCCCAATGAATAAACTTAGAGAAATTTGTAAATGCATTTTGATTGGTTTGGATTACTTGCATAGAGAACTTGGAATAATCCACTCAGACCTAAAGCCTGAAAATGTCCTTCTCTTATCCACCATTGATCCTGCTAAAGACCCTCTTAGATCTGGACAAAGCCCGATCCTGGAGAGGCCTGAGGGAAGCATGAATGTCGGATTTTCAAGTGTCATTGAGAAAAAGCTGAAAAGGAGAGCAAGAAGGGCAGTTGCTAAAATATCAGGAAGAACTTCATCATTGGGAGAAGTTGGAGTGGTTCCAAAACCCAACAGAAATGTTGATGGAGTTGATGTGCAATGCAAGATAGTCGATTTTGGAAATGCATGCTGGGCAGATAAGCCATTTGCAGAAGAAATCCAGACGAGGCAGTATAGAGCTCCTGAAGTTATATTGCAGGCTGGGTATTCGTTCTCTGTTGACATGTGGTCTTTTGCTTGCATTGCTTTTGAGCTCGCCACGGGTGATATGATGTTTACTCCCAAGTCTGGACAAGGTTTTAGTGAGGATGAGGTATGATGGTTTGCACTTTCTAGTTTAGTAGAAATATTATCTCCCTATTTCATGCATGAGTAAAATTATGATATTGTTTGTGCATGGGCTGATCGGTTCCTTAGACTTGCTTACTGCAATATAGAAGTATCTGGGTTCACTAATTTTGAGAGTTGAATAGAAATTTTATGCTCATATGTTCATACAAGAGGAAAAACTTCTTGATGAATTGAGAATAGCTTTGTATGGACTTCAAACCAGTGGAGTCTCATTACTTAATCACATCTAAAATGATTTAATAGATGTTATTAATTAGAACATGATGGGCATCCAAGTGGAGTGGGGGACCCTTCTCTGAAGATGGCTATCAAGGTGGTTGAACCATCCTACTTAATCCCATAGAGCATCCCATACTATTTAATAGGGGATTATGCATCTCATATTTACCTTGGTCTCCATCAATTGGCTGCCTTTGTAGATTCAATGTCATGAGGGTTTCATTTTGCGATACTTCACTCAACTTTCTCAGTAATCAGAACTCCCTATAGATGACCCTTTCTTGAGCTGTCAATTAGTAGTTTAATACCAACTGATAGACCCTCAAGTGAACTTCCAACTAGCTACTAAGGTGGGAGAACTAACCCACTTAACTACCTAATGAGCATCTTATACTGCCCCATACCCCATGTGGAATCGAACATCAGCATACTACTCTAGTCTCCATCCAGACACTTCATGAAATGTTGGTTGGAGTCATACTGAAATTTTCCTCTGATGTCTGTATTTTGTGATATTAATGTGCAGGTTATATAACTTTTTGTAAGACATTGTTGTATCCATTTATGAACCTTTCCCAACCCTGTGAAATAAAAATAGAATAATTGTTGTGCTTTAGGTAGTTTCTGGCCTGGTTTTCTTATACATCTTGAAATAGTTGGCATGAGGCATGCAATATAGACTTTTAGTTTCTTTTTATTTTTTTAATTGTTTTTCCTGATTACCGTTATGTCACGCAATCAATAAGCATGCAATGAGTGCAAGCACCTTTACATCTGGAATTTGAATTATTCTTTGATTTGTTCAGAAAAGAGAAGGGAAGAGTTATTGTCAAATTCTTAGTTTAAGTGGTAAATTAAACGTTGGTTTTGATTGCATTAATGCTGTACATTGTGTTGACGTCAGGACCACCTTGCCCTGATGATGGAACTCCTTGGAAAGATGCCCGGAAGGTGAATGTTCATATTTCTACTCTCTTAGCATAGTTCTTGAAGTTATTGTGGCATTCCTAATGCTTGCGGGATGCAGGTTGCCGTTAGTGGAGCAAAATCCAGGGATTTCTTTGACAGGCATGGGGATCTAAAAAGAATTAGGAGGCTGAAATTCTGGCCACTTGACAAATTTTTGATTGATAAATACAAGTTTTCAGAGAGTGATGCTCGTGAGTTTTCAGAATTTATTGGCCCCCTTCTGGATTTTTCACCAGAGAAGCGGCCGACAGCACAACAGTGCTTAGAACACCCTTGGCTTAATGGTCAAGCCAACTCCAAATAATGAGAAATGATTCTAGTTTTTGAAAAGTTGATGGTTGGGATGTTGACAGACTAATGGAAGAAAGGTATTTGACAGAGCCATAGTTACTGCATTTTAAGCTCCTCCTTCCACATATGATGACCTGTTATTGGTTGTGATTCATTTTTTATTTGTTCACGTTGTTATTTTTATTGGATCAATATACACAAAGATATGTATAGTAGAGAATTTTGTTCCTCTAGAGACGATATGCACGGGAATTTGCGTGTATATTCTTTTTTCTAATAAAGTTATTTTGTATCCAGTATTATTGGATCGAAATCGAATGTTTTGGGGTCCATTTTGTATGTATATGTACTGTGTCTGACCTGGTCATCCATGCGATTTGAGATTTTTTTTTAATATTTTTATTTTTACCGCAATTAAAATCAAACAATTTTTGTGTGTTCTGCTTGATTTTATAGGAGAGAAGCTCAAGTGGATTGATGAATAATTATCATCATGAATGTTAATGCCAATACAAGTCAATAAGAAGTCACAAGTAATGTATTATTATTGTTATTATTATTATTTAATGCCAACACAAGTCAATAAGAAGTCACAAGTAATATATTATTATTATTATTATTATTATTATGCAGCTATATCATGAACCCAAGAGGACAAAAGGCATCCCTTAATAGTAATTCAACGGTCAAAAGAGAAGGTAGGCGCCTTTTCCTATGTGGGTTTTTTTTTTCTGGGGGGGGGGTGGGGGCCGGGGGGGGGGGGGGTTGGGTTTGGTATAGCAAAATTTTGGCCACAAACTCTTTTGTTTATCTGAATCCACTAACTTATTGCAATTTGAAAAGGTTAAAAACACAAAATGACAGCTCACATCCAAATTGTAAACCAAGCTTTCATGTCTTATTACATCTTCTTATCTGCACATGAAGGAAGATGGAAGAATCACATTGAATGAACTCTGGAGAATTTTATTTACTAGTAAGAACCAAATAATTTTGAATTCACTCTGTAGGATCAAGGGATCGAAATACAATTAAATTTTAGTGTGAAAAAATAAAACTGTCCCTCATTTTTTTAAAAAAAATCCTCTCTATCACCACTTGTCGGAGCTCTGGCGCTAGTCACCAAACCAACTAGAGAGACAAATTAAATTTTTTTACTGGTGGCCAGGGGGGTTTGAACCCACATCTCTTTGGCCACCAAAAAAATAATTAGCCAGTAGGCTAATAATTCTTTTTAATTATATAATATAAATTTTTATATATTTTTTAAACTTTATTTTTACTTTTCATTCTAATACTTATCAAAAGCTTAATGGTTACTTGTCATTTTATAAATGGCTACTTCTTAAATTATTAATGAGATTTGTTAAAAAATTTAATATGCACTGATTTTTAAAAATATTTTTTTTGTTTTTATTACCAAAAATGACAAGTCTTTATTGATAATTTAACAAGTAACCATTTTGTGAAATAATAAGTTCTATTACTAACTTTAAAAATTTCTTTTAATAAGTTGACAAGAAAATTTAATACAATAAGAAGTTCATATAAGTTATTGACATGTAAGTTTTTATAATAAAAATAAGTAAACATTTATAAAAATTACTTCATATTAAATTTCTTTAACAAATCTCCATTGTTAATTTAACAAGTAACTATTTGTCAAGTGACAAGTCCCATTACTAGTTTTAAAAAATTCTCTTAATAATTTGACAAGTAAATTTTAACAAAATAAAAACATAAGCTTTTGACATGTGAGCTTTTAGTAACAAAAACGAGTAAATATTTATAAAATTTAGTGCATATTAAATTTTTTTAACTAGTCTCATTAGTAATTTAATAAATAGCTATTTGCGAAATGATAAGCAACTATTAAATTCTTGACAAATATCGGAATGAAAAGTGAAAACAAAGTGAAAAATATATCAAGATTTGTATTGTACATGTAACAAGTTCATATTGATACGTCAAAAGTTTACATGAACTTATTATTTTACTAAAATTTACTTGTCAAATTATTAAGAAAAATTTTTAAAGTTAGTAATGAGATTTATTATTTCACAAATAGTTACTTGTTACATTAACAATGGGGACCTATTAAAAAAATTAACATGGAGTGGTTTTTATAAATATTTTTTGTTTTTATTATCAAAAACTTATATGTCAAAAGCTTATATGAACTTGTTAGTTTACTAAAATTTACCTGTCAAATTACTAGGAGAGTTTTTCAAATCCAGTAACAGAACTTGATATTTTATAAATAATTACTTGTTAAATTATCAATGAAAACTTGTTTATCGAATTATCAACAAAAATTTTTTAAGTTAGTAATGAAACTTGTCATTTCACAAATAGTTGCTTGTTAACTTATCAATGAAAACTTGTTAAAAAAAATTAATATGGAGTGATTTTAATAAATGTCTACTTATTTTTATTACTAAAAGCTTACATGTCAAAAGCTTATGTATATTTATTATTTTACTAAAATTTACTTGTCAAATAATCAAGAGAAATTTTTAAAGCTAGTAATGAAACTTATCATTTCACAAATGGTTGTTTGATAAATTATCAATAAGGACTTATTAAATAAATTTAATATAGAGTAATTTTTATAAATGTTTACCTATTTTTATTGCCAAAAGCTTATATGTTAAAAACTTATATCAACTTATTATTTTACTAAAATTTACTTATCAAGTTATTAAATTTTTTTTAAAATCAGTAATAAAACTTGTTATTTCACAAATAATTACTTGTTAAATTATTAATGAGGACTTTGTTGGTCAAATTATCAAGATAAATTTTTCAAAACTAGTAATAAGACTTGTCATTTTATAAATAGTTATTTGTTAAATTACAAATGGAGACTTGTCATTTTTAATAATAAAAACAAGCAAATATTTATAAAAATCAATGCATATTAAATTTTTAACAAGTCTCATTAATAATTTAACAAATATCCATTTATAAAATAACAAGTAATCATTAAACTTCTAATGAGTATTGATACGAAAAGTAAAACCAAAGTTTAAAATATATATAAAGATTTGAATTACATAACTCAAAAGAATTGGTAGTCTAGTGGCTAGTTATCTTTTTGATGGTCAGGAGGAGGATGTGAGTTCAAACTCTCCTTGGCTACCTTAAGAAAAAATTAATTTGTCTTCCTCATTAGTCCGGTGACCGGCACTGGAGCTCCAATGGCCAGTGACAATGAATTTTTTTTTTATCTTTTCACATTAAAATTTAATTACCCCCGTTTTAAATTATAAGACACTTTAAAAAAAAAATCTCACATATTAATAAATTTTATTAAATACACTTTACAACCTTGCTTTTTCAAGACAAAAATATACTTTCAAAATACCCTTTATTTAATACTCTATTAATAAAAGAATATTAAAAAGAGAGAATATATGAAAAAAATAATAATAAAAAAGCATTATTAATAAAACTTTATTTTTATCAAAATATCTTATATCTTAAAACACTCAATCTTTTTTAAAAGTATTTTATAATTTAAAACGTAGAGAATTCATTTTAGTTCCTTAGTCTTGCAGGATGAATTTAGAATCATTTAATACTTAGGGCTTTTAGTGTGATTTTCCCAAGATAGATCCGCGTAACAGACCAACTTATGTAGAAACCACGTAATAGAATACTGAAGGGTTATCAACATCATGTTAACGAATCACATATCCAATGTTCACCACATAATATACCTCTTAAGTCTCTAACATTGCAAGACCATCTATTATTCCCCCAAAAAAAAACTGCACAGATGCACGAAAGCATAAAAAATAAAGCAAATACATCCTTAACTTTGAAATTTTTCATGTATCCTCTTCACCAACAGAAGCAGAGGTATCACTCGACACAGCAAATATGATCCTCATAATGAATTCCTTCAATCAATCACCTTTGGCACCTACTTACAATACCAATGACAGTATCCTATAGATCTCTGTATCTAACACAATAATTACATCCACAATGCTGAGCACAACTCCATAAGAAAGGTGGAGAATGAGAGTCACCCAAAAAGAAATAGCTACTGCAAAAGGAAACCCAATAACTACTAAGTTGAACAGAGAAGTGAAAATCTTGAGCTCTACTGTGCTTCCTAGTTGCTCTTGCATTGTAAAATAAAACCAGCCACAGTAAGAGAAGTTTCCGGTAAATCTCAGTTAACTCTAATTGAATAGAGATCATAGTTGAATCAAATATTCAGTAATCATTAATACATGCTTCCAACTAAGAAAACTCGTGCCGAGAAACAAATAGGGGTATGCTATCAGATCTCAATTTTCATCTTCATGACCTTGGACTTGTAAATATCTGTTACAGTTACTAGTTTACTAAGAAATAGATTGACGTGCACAATCTTCACTAATAAATAAACTAATAATGCTCCTATTCATTCCATGAGGAAAATACACTGCAGGATATCAGAAGAAAAATATTTATAAGACCAAAAAGAAGAAAAAGAATGTTATGCAATGAATGGAATACAGAAAAATGATATTAGGCAGTTAACTCCCAATCCTAAATGAATTAAACGACTTTTAGCAAGAAGAAACTTTTCTTATTTCAGTTTTCACCTGCTTTAAAATAAATGATCCAACAAAAGAATTTGCAATTTTTTTTTAAGAGAGAAAGAGTATAATCTCTCTCCTCGCTTCTAACTCTTATCATTCTATGTTTGAACACACTAATAATTGTTACTCATAGCATAAGAGAACTTCTAATCCCTTTCCTCACTGTCGTAAGGTCTTTCAGCACCTCCTTAATCATATGCCAGAAACTCTCAAAAAGATCTACATTTCATCCATAGTGAGAAGAACACAGCATTGAACTGAAATAGAAGTGGAAGATTGTCCAGATAGAGTAATAACAATTGTTGCCACTAACTCGCATAGTGACAACAAACTACAAAGAAATAATAAGGCTATGGGCTTACTATATGGTTTCTAATGCCAACATATCAATTATCAGGGGAAAAAACTAAACCAGAAAACTGAGAAGGAATAATCAATAGCCAATCAATGAAAAAATATTATAAAAAAAAAAATATAGGGCGCCACACTAGTCACATGCCATGAGGCATGAAGAATTTACAATTTGAGCTTCATACGAATATGAAGCTTCTTGCTACAGCCAGCACATCAATTATCAGGGGGAAAACTAAACAAGAAAAATGAAAAGGTATAATCAATAACCAATCCATGAAAAAATGTTAAAAAGTATAGGGCGCTCCACTATTCAAATGCCATGAGGCATGAAAAATGCGACTCATTTAGGGCTTTGTACATCTTAAG